ACTGTAAAGTCTCAAATAGTGGTTCTCTAATGAGATCATTAATGATATTAAATCTACCACATGTCTTTATTGTAGATGAACGTAATATTGGATGAATTTTACGGGTACTATAGTCACCTAATTAAAGGACAAATCATCATTAATGCAATATTAATGCCAATTAATACTCACTCCTAAGTTGTGCAGTGTTATCCCAAGCTTGTAGAGTTATTCTTGTATCAGTTGGTAATACCCCTCCAGTTAGTACAGCACATATTTCTACAGTTCCTTCATTCTCAATCACATCATATGTTCCTCTCTCTAATGACAGCACACCAGCTATACAATGCAATGAATAAAATATCCTCTCTATTATTTTATAACTTACAATCATCATCAACAATGGTGATGGTAGCTGTCTGCCTGTCTCTCTGTATTAGAACAAAATTATCATTACTAGGTACTATGATGACTCTTATTGTTTCATTTTCCTCAATGATATTATCTTCAAAACTTGTGATAGGCTGGAATAAAATATCATTCAGCGTATTATTGGCTCGGTAGGTAAATCTTGGAACAGTAGCATTGAAGGAGAAATCAGCACCTAAAATAAAAAAACTGATATTGCTAAACAACTAACTACTATTAACCATTTTTAGCAGTCCCAGATATGTGTCTCAATCGAATTAGACTTAAACGACTCTCTGGATACCCTCCAATGCCTACACCACCAGTCTCATTTCCTAACTGCTTTATAGTTAATGGGGCTACTTCTCCTTCTCTTATAGTAACGTGTAGATTTTTAAATCCAATATAAAAAGCTATAACAGAACAACAATAAATCAATCCCAAAAATGGCTTACCATCTAGATTGTCAAGTCTTACCATTTGAGTGGTTTTGTAAGGATCTAGTCTAACTCTAGAATCATTAACACTGAGTCTCCACCTAAACACTTCTTGTAACTCTACAATATTATCCCATGGCATCAAGAAAGCAACACGTTCAAAATGTTGATGAAAGTAAAATTTATATGCTGGTGTTGGTTGAAACACAACACTACGCTGTTCAGTGAAGTTAAAGAAATCTAAATTAAAGAGGGGAAAAAATCATAATTTATAAAGAATTATTATGTCATACCAAAGTCTCCAACAGCAGCTTGATCAGGACTCAATGGGCCAAAGTACCTCTCATTTGAGACAGTGACTTCAAAAGGAGCTTCATATGCAATTATTTGACGTTCAACCCTAGCTGTAGCAGTACTACCTTCTAAAACTATTGATGGCTCTTGAAGACCAACAGTAATTACTATAAAATGAGAGATGATCACAATAAAATGATTCAATACAAGCTCACTGTCTATATCCTCTATTGTAATGCTAAGACGTCTGTATACAAGTACAACTCCTGATGGTATTGGTGGATCACCTGAATCAGTTTCAGCAGCAATCAAGTAATCAAAAGAAAGAGTTGGTTGGAGAGCAACAGCATTCCCTTGTGACAGATAGCGTATGCTAAACCTTTCTGGAAAATTTGGGTCCAAAAAAACATTAGTTCGTCCAGAAAAATCTGAGCTTAAGTAGTCAGCAACTGTAATCAGAAAAATAAATATAAAGTAAATAAAAGCATTGTCTACCATCAACTGCTGGCTCTCGTGAAATAACATAATCCAAATTATAAACATCATCAGTTGGAGCCCCAGGAGTACTGAGGAGTACATCAGCAGTAAATGAGTATCTTCTACCAGCATCACTTGGACCAATATGCACACGTGATTGATCAAAACCAACAACTAGTGAATTACAAAAAATTAACCCAAATTATTTAAAATATTATCTTCTATTCTTACCGACACATGCACCACATTGTTGTGCAGCTAGTAAAGAATGAGATATATATCCTCCACCAGTTCTATTACAGCAGTCAATAGCTGCAAGACTGACTCCATTAGTATTACTAGTACAATCAGCAGCAGATGTGTAGCACTGTACAATTACATCCTCAGTTAATTGTTGTTTAACTGTACATAACATTAAAAAAGATTCATGTATAATAAAGAATTTAACTGGCAAAATTGGTAAAAATAATGTGTGGCATCTAACTAGGGCCATTCCAATAAAATAAAATAAATGGCCGGGTACATCTCGCAATGAAAAGAATCGCAATTAATAATAATTGATAAGCACCACGCCTATCAATGATTTTCTCTACATGTGTTTCATTTACAGCATCATGAGTGGTATCCTGTGATATTTTCAGCCCAAATTACCTCATGATCTAGTCAAGTCCCAATGCCACCTAACATCTTGAAGGAAGTTAATCAAGCTGTGGCAGTAGCTTTAGATGGCAAAGGAGAGAAACAAGACAATCAGTTAACTTGCGAGTGTGGCTAGCTAGGCTAGCATCTTGCAATTGTTGGAAACACAAACTAATGATATTTTTTCAAATTTGCAAGATACGCAATCAAAACCCGGCCTACGGTATATAGTTTGTATTACACAGTTGGGGCTGGTAGCTGAATTCAATTATAAATTTCATTATTGCAGTATAAATTATTGTGTACAACATATGAATCATAATAAATCACTAATCCAGGTGGAAAAGGAGCAACAAAAATTTTATTAAAATGGCCTAAAAACTAAAATTAAACAATGACACATAAGTACAGTTACCACTATGCTGTTTAGTCTTATACTAGAAACATTAAGTTTCATGGTTCAACTATTTAGACTTTTATACAAAATCTGTTGTATAAAATTTTAAAATATTTAACACCATAATCATTTAATACAGTCATAGTTTTGCCTCGCCCCTTCACAAAGGGGCATGGTGAGACTAACACAGGTATATACATATATATATATATCTATTCTATACATGCAGTGTTCTGAACATTTATTATAGTTGCTGTATTAACACAAAGGCTGAAATAAAGTTTGCTGTAGATTGATAATACATTCTCTGAAAATTAATTACAGCACACAATAGATGTACAATACTTTATTCACTAATATAAGAAGCCTTGCTATTGATTGAGCTTACTGTCATCATCTTGTATTTGAATTGTTGATGGGGTACTGTCTAAAATGAAGTTGCTATACTCAGGTGTTATTCTAGAAATTGTTAATGTAAAACTCTCATATGATGGCTCCCATAAGTTATCATTAATAATGTGAAGACTTGTACAGGTCTTGTTCTTAAATGCAGGCAGAGTTAAAGTATTACTATTAAAGGTGTAATCAGCTATATAGGAAGAAAATTACATGAGACACAATTAAGAACTCAATTACAATTTCGTTTTGCAGTTCCTTGTGAATCAAGAACACTAATATTCACTGAGCTTGATGAGATATCTCCAGTTAGTACAATACATATTTCTAAACTTCTTTCACTCTCAATTACATTGTATGATCTTCTTTCTATTGACAGGCTAGTGGGGGTATCTATGAAAGTTTTAAAAAATTAAATTATTTCTATATGTCAGTGCTTACTTGTTTTATCAAATATTGTTATAGTAGCTGTCTGTAGTGCTGGTATAATTTGAATGTTAGCAAAATTTGGTCCTGGAAGAAGTACAACCTGTATCAACTCATTCCCTTCAATGACATTATCCACAAGACTTGTGACAGGAAAAAATGTAATATCATTTAACTTATTATTGGAATTGTAACTGAATTCTGGGAAACTATAATTTAGCTTGGCATCTGCTCCTTGACCAGCTAGATAACATAAGTACAATCAAGAGTATACTCTTGGTACAATAATGCTGAAACAAAGGCTGATGACTATACTTACTTAAAGTGGCAGGTGTAGTTGAGGTTGTCCTTATGTCAAGTCTAGCAGAAGCAAGGCTTCTTT